TAGGTGTGCAATACTTATGTTTCAAAGGGAATTTGCACTTCGTTTGGTTGCAAAACCAGGAACTAAACTATACTGCAGACTCTCTATTAATACTCAGTTATTAGCTCGAGTGGACCATCTGATGAAGGTACGTCATTCTGCATTAGCTAACAGAGCTATCAAAGACACAGTAATGTTTCTAGGAATATGAGGATCTGTGCTTGCTCATACAGCTGCCCGACTTCTCCTGACTAACAGGTTGGAAAGAACAACTTCAGGCCTCCTCCCAAAGTTGAATCCAGCGTTGTCAGAATTGAGCCAAAGAACCCACCACCACCTATCAACTTCCAAGTGAGCATCATACACTCTAAAAACAATGTAACATCCTAGTGATAATACTTAATTTCATTTTTGTTTTCACTTGTTACTCAGCTCCACGTGCCGTTTTCACTACAAAGTACCAGCTGTTCATTGGCATTCACATGACTGTTGGTACGGCTTGCGTTAGGACGTTAGCTGAATGTGCCACCATCAATTCGGGTGCAGCTTGCTTTACAGTATTTCTGACAAGACCGAGGTACCATCTCCATGTCAGGTGTAGCGTTGCTAGTAATAATAATAATGTCCCTCCCATTGTGGTTTGTGTCTCCCAGAGACCCTTCTGGCTGATGACTTTGTTGGTTATGGTCAAAGGAGTATCTATGAGAACTCTTCAGCCGAGTGTGTATAGTCTCAGAAGACAGATGTTACAGGATAGTATTCTTAATTTTTAAAAGGCTTTGATCTTCAAGACCATTTCAGTGTTGCCCAAGGCTAGATGGATTTTCTCAGCGTATATGATCTGGCCAATAGTGCCTAGGCACGAAAAAGAACAATTCAAAGGTTTTTGTGAGTGAAGTTTTCTCCTCCATTTGTATTGCTTTGTCCAAGGCAGGACTGGTTTCGTATTGCTTAGAAAGGTATTGTCCTGAAAGATTTTTCTTTGTGTTCAGTATCATTGTGAGATTGTCAGCAGTGACTGTTCTTGTTTGTAGTAGCTGTAGATTCCTTTCTGTACATTCTGAAATCTTTCATTTCAGGAGTGGGATGGTCTGGTAAGGATAGCCTTTGTTAGGAAAAACAAGACACTCTCCGCAGCATTTAAGTAAGTAACTCCTATTAAAGGAAATCTTTTCAAAGGTTGAGAGCCTATCCAGTTAACCATTTCTTTTGTGCAAATGCATAGCAGTGCTATGTATCCCAGCAGCAGTCTGGGATAAACCATGATGGAGGATTTATCCTGAGGTCACGAGCTTTTTCTTTTAGAAGAAAACCAGGCAGCTGTTTAAAAAGAACCACTCTGTGTGGCCATTACAGCTTTTTATAGTAAAGGTTAACAACCAGTCAAGTCAAAAAAACCAAGTTAAAACTGAATTTTCATTCTAAACTTGTGTTTCTTTCAGGTCAAGTGCTGTAGAGCAGTTGCTGGATCATAATTACCGAATTCATTGTTCCTTGCATAATACAGTAAGTTCCTTTTTAATATATTAAATTCTGTTCCTGTGTACTGTGACCTACAGTGTATATATATATAAGAGTAAAATACTAACACTGAAAAGCTTAGCGTGTTAAATTTTTTCTGAGGGAGCTTGAGAGAGGGAGGAACTTACCTCTTTTCTTAGAGAAAATTCAAAAGGGTCGCTACATTACAGTGAAAAAGCTGAAAGCTGAGTATGTTATTAATATACTGACTGTACATGTCTCAAGGGCTTTTACTAATCCAATAAGAATCTAGTAAGAAAACTTTTTGTCTGCTTAGCAATACTGTTGTGATCCATTTACAGTGAATGAGCTGAGGTATAACAACTCAGATACAAGAGTAGAATAATGCAATGACCCATATCAGAAAAAATACAACTTATTTCTATCACTTGAAACAAGAACTACTCTAAAATCAGGAAAAGAATAGATGATTTAAATAAATCTTTGCTATGAATAGAAAGTGAATTTGTTTCCTATTTTCCATTGACAGGAAATACCCGAAAACTTCAAAATTGCAGAGAAAATCCAGACAGTCTTAAAAAACACAGGTTACTCTGAAAAACGAGCCCGTTCAATGGATATAGATGATTTCATTAGGTATTTTTTTTTTCTCTTTATGCCTTCATTTCGAGCTTCTTCTAATTCTGTCTGCATCTGTACCTGTGCAGCACAGATTAGATTGGGAAACACAGGAACAGTACTCACCCTGTTTTCCTCTCAATACCGGACACTCCTTGCTTCCAGTCCTGAACTTGAACAAACACCGAGACTAGATACATTTTAACTGTTGCTTACAGTATTGAGAAGCAACTAGCTAAAGATCCCTATTTCTGGTATTTGTGTACTAGACCCTTCTGTCTCCTCTAAAAATTCCTTTAATAATGGAATTGGTTATTATAATTACCCTGGAGACTTAACACAGCCCTTCTCTGTCTTGAGGATTAGGCTGTAGTCTATAGCATAACTTGGAACTTTGAGTAATTATCCTGCTCTTAGTTCTGGTCAGTTAATTGATGTGGCAACATGAATTCTTTCCCAGTTTAAGATAAAAATTGCAAGCTGTTTCTCGGTGTGACAGCCAAGATATGTACTACTCTTTAAAGAAATGTAGTAAACCTGGTAGGATGCAATATAACTAACTGCACTGAAAATATACCTGCATCTCTAAAATGGCAAATTTGCTAATAAGTACTTCTAGTATCAGATTTGTAACAATTCTTTAAGGCAGTGGAACAGCGATCCCTGCTTTCCTGCTGTTTTTTGTTATGTTCTTTGCCAGCCAGCACATCTTAGAAACGCCTGAAGCTGTAGTATAATTGGCAGAAATTGTAACATAAATATTTCACTCTTTCAGACTGCTGCATGGATTCAATTCAGAAGGCATCCATTTCTCATAGATTCTACTAGGAGAATGAAAGATGTTCTGTATTTTGTCACCAAAGTCTCACCTAAGCCAGAGTGTCTGCAATGGGAGCAGCTGTTCTCACAGAAGCAACAAACAGAATACAGCGTGCGCCCACTGGTTCTTACTAACACCTTACATGCAATTTTATCAATCACAGACAGTAGTCAAGAAGTTGCTGCTATGTCTTTTAAAAGCGGTAAAGTCTGTCACGACTGAAGTGCAGGGGGCTGGACTCACATGTGACAGCGTATTGTCAGTTGGGTATGGGCATCAAAACCAGAGTTGTAGTCATTCATTTAATTTGTTTGGGATTTGTTTGTTTGTTTTAAAGTGTATTTAAACACTTTCTCTTAATTTGAAATTCCCTTCTCTTCTATTTGTCCTCTGGTAGCTACCTGCATTCCATGTCTATTAGTAATCTCCCGCTGTTGGAGAAATCCCAGTAACTGTTTCTCAGAAGCAAGAGCATTTATCTTGTGGGCTTGGTACCATTTACAAAAACATTACAGAGGTACCTGAAACTACCAGTGTCATCTCCTTTACCCCCTTCTTACTACCATCAAACCACTGTAGGAACCAGCAGAAAACTACCAAAGGGCCAGTGCTCATAAGCATAGACAACAGGGTTTTTTTGTGAACTGTAAATTCAAGCAGCTATTTTTATAAGAAAACTACTTCTCCCTTCAAGGCAATGAGGAGTTTTAGCATAGATCAAAGCTTTCGATGAGTCTTAAGAGCAATGCATGCCTGTGTCCTGACAGAAAGACTTAGTGAAGTATCTTAATACAATTTGGATTATATGTATTTGTTATTATGGACAAGGCAGAGTTTTCCCAAGAAAACTGTCAAAAGCAGCTGTCAAAAGAAAACGCCATTTTGTTCTTAACAATTCAGGAGAACAACAGCTATTAACTCTGTAGCACCATGCAGGGGTGAGGGCATGACTGTGTATTAACTACAGTAAGTAATTTTTTTATGTATAGCAATCTCCGTAAGACCACAGAAAGTGGAGAAGAGGCAAGTTAGCAAAAACTCCTCTAAGATACAACTTCGTTTTATACACATCCAGTCTCAAGTCTTTAAAAGTCATTGATTCAGAAGCATGTGCAGAAATACACTTGAATTTTCAGGTGTTCTGAGAGGTTGTCTTGGAAAACTGGATTGCTCACTTGTTTTGTTATTTAATGACTCTAGTGCTGCTTCACTGCACATAGAACCAATTCATAAGTGAGGGCAGTAGCCACTGCAATATGCTCAGAGTAACCCAGAAGGAAGAAGCGCTGCAGATTTGTGTCACGTTTTCTAACTGCTTCTGTGTTACAGGACTGGAATCGAGATAAGCTTGTCTGAGTCCTGTTCAGGTCATTCCAGTCCATCACAGCAATGGGCTACAGGAACTCAAGTGCCGTAGCCAGCCGTATCAGTTTGTCCTCATTCTCACTGCTTCGGTATCCATGTAGGTCTGACCTCTATGGCAGGCTCTGTCACAAAGACTGTCCTAACATTTCCCCCACAGCAGACACAATTTCAGCTTGCATCTGGTACCTGACAGGACACGTCATTTACACACCAGGCTTAGTAAAACGCTGCCAAAACCTAATGCCTCTGACCTTCCTGTTCTCTTTGGTAACCGCTGTAAACCACAGCCTGGTGGTGGCTCTAGGCTTGCAGGGAGGAACAGCTAGGGAGGCCACCATTTCTCGTGTAGGATGTCTCCATCTTCAGAGGCTTTTTAGAAAGTTAAGATTTCTTGAGAGCAGCTTCGAAGAAACCCTGTGGTATTATATGATAACCTATATATCATCTGCTAACAAAAGCTGCTGCCTTCTGTTTCATTGGGTTTTTCTTTTAACTGTGATGGATGACGTTCTTAACTGCTCAGAAAGATTTGTGATGTTTCCTTTAAGACCCGCATGCAAAACTGAAGTCAGGACAGTGCTCTCGGGAACTTCTTCCTATATGACAAAGAGTTAGCTCCAGAAGTAAATGTTCATTCTGAAATCAGACCTTTTTGAAAGTGTAACTCCGATGTGCTTATTATAAAGTGAACCCTTCCCAAAGCACAACAGAAATTTCATAGAATTCTCATCTGTAATTCATTTAATAGCTTAATTTATTAAACACATTATGTAAAATCTACATTGTTGTTTCCATGTTTACACACAGGAGGATTTTTTTTTTATTTTATTTTTAACCATGATGCAACAAGAGCTTCCCATAGTCTACCTTCCTATGGGAGATACAGACATTAAGCACTACAAGGATTCCTGGCTCATTTAACTCTCTTTTCATTGCCTTCCCTTTATTTCCCTCCAGGCCTGACACAAACAAACAGGTTTGTATTCCAAAAGTAATTTTAAAAGACTTCCAAGGGAAAGTCTGCTGATACGAGCTCCTGGAAACAGGGAGAACTCCTAGAGAGGTCTACAATTCTTCATTTGACAAGAAGTTCTTACATGAATGGTCAATCTTTTTTGGATACTGACTTGCAAAAATAACTTGAGTGCCACCACCTAAAAAGTGCTGATACACATGGCGCCATTTGTGAGAATTCAGGTACTTGTGGGATTTCTATTAGCACTAGGTAGAGTTATTGTGCAAAATCCTCAAATGATGCAATTTCAGCCCACTTTTCAGCTGCTGGCACTGTACAAAGGGAAAAATAGGTATTAGCTACTTTTTTTAAAGCAACAGAGCTACTCAAAACTACCTGCAAACTACAGTTAATGTACATGTAAGTTTGTCATGCATCAAAATCCAAATTTTAACAGTACATGAAAAGCCAATACATAAGTATTTAGCTGGATCCCCAAACTTGGACAGTTAACCTATCCATACACAGAGGTCAGATCGTACCTTTACTCTGACAGCATTATCACACTATACCACATACTGTATATCTGCATTATCCTAAGTTACAACTCTCCTCAGTACTTAAACATTACCCCTTTATTATACATCAACTAATTTTTTTTTTGTTCTGTTTTGTTGTTTGTTGTTTTTTTATTACAGAGAGAATGTTAGAATTATATAACCATTCTTTATGGTATTCAGATAAATCTAGATTCCAGATTTTTACAAAGAGGATGGAATGTCCAGCTGTTTGTCCACTCTAACAGCTCTTGCAGTTCCTGTTCAAATGATATGGCACATCTCGTAAAATGACACTAGCCACCAAACCAAAAAGTCTCAAAACACACTAAAATGCACACACACTGAAAGTAATTGATATTGACAAATAAGGAATGTTGTTTATTAAGGCTGTGCTTTAGAAAGAGGTTGTTTAGGGTTAAGTAGCCTTCATCAAGGCACAGAATGGGAAGAGGTAAGCACAGCTGTCTGTAAAAGAGAAGTTATGTACAACCACTAGTGAGGTGTGCATGCATGCAAATACAATTTAAAACTGCAAGCTGGTCTTTGTAACAAAACTGGACGTAGTCAAAAGGAAATTCTGTGACTTTAATGGCCGCAATCTTACTTCATTATTCAAAACATGGCAAATATTTTCAAACATAAAATTCACAATTTGAATAAATGAAGTATTTAAACAAAGTGCTTCACAGATCTGAACCCTGCATGGTTGTGCTGTCTGGTCTAGAAGCATTTTGTAGACATCATAGGAGCATTTCACACAAAACTGAAAATGTCATTCAAGTGACTAAGAAACAGGACATTTCCACAGACATTTCTAACGTTTTTTACACTTTCAAGTAGTTGAGTTCTTACGGCCACTGGGTTTTGTAACAAATGTGTGCTACAGCAGTACGGGTTTGTGGATTCCTTTAGCAGCAAAGGCCCATTTCAAAGGGCACGTGGTCTTTTCGGGTTGATCTGTTTACTGGCTTGTTCCTCCTCTTGCAGAGCTGCCCGGAAAGATTTCACTTTATCTTTAATGAAAAAGAAAGAATGAGTACTGATGTGCCTATGCTCAACACATATCTTGAAACTAAGCCCTGATGCTCCACATCCCAGCCCTAATGCACAATGAAGAACATTCCTCCACAAAAATAGCTGACGCTACAAACTACAAGAGGATTGAGACAAGCTTATGTTCAATCCTCACCGATTAATACAAACAAGTTGCTTAGCAACTTAGTCCCTTCTTAGATGCTAGCCCTGTCTCTAGGCAGGACAGGTTTGGAAACTGCAAAACTGCCCTTCCAGCATGTAACCTGTTCACACTTTAATTCTGCTTCTGACTTACAAAGTATAGGGAGGTGCACACCGTATACTTCCTTGTCCTTCCAAACCATCCTCGGAAGCACACAAAATCATAGTCAGCACAATCAGTCACTGCTGTGCATTCTACAACCTGGCAGAGTAAATTCTACTCCCCCTGTTTTTCTACGAACGTGAAAAGCATTTGTCATTAAATTTTGGAAGTTGTTCCCCATAAAAGCATCATTCCTTTCATCATAACTCTAACAAGAATGGGAGAAACCTGAGAAAGGAAGTGTGGCATCCTTTCATATTTCTATTCCCGTGGCCTTCCATTCCCCAGTAACATGCCCAAGAAAGGGAAGAAGGAAACAAAAATGACAGCATATAGATGTCAGTCCCAGAGTGACAGAAGACACTGGGAGAAAGAATTTTTGACTTAACAGTTCTTCCCTCCTGTAAAGCTACACAGGTATCGTGCTGCCCGTAAAGATGCAACGATCTCTTAGATAGCCTTTACCTCCAGTAGTACCTTGTTTCAAAAGCAGTATCTGGTAAGTTTTTGAAGAACAGGGAGTCACCTAAACTGTGTTTTTTCATTGCTGGCATCTCAAATTGTCTTCTTCTGAAGTGTAAGCCATCATCCATAAAAAGCAAAGGAATGTACCTCTAATTCTTTGCTAAGTTATACTGGTGCCACTGCATGCTTACAAGGCAAGCAGGCCACTTCTGATTTGCCTGGCGTATTCTTCAAACTTACAGCACAGACTGAGGAAAAAGATTTTATCTTATAAGGAGTTTTCTAACACAGATGAAAAAAACCTCACCCCAACCCTCAGCCCCCAAGCCTGCCCTTGAATTTTTATCAGTATAGCATGTCTCCTGGTGTTCGAGTAGTTACAGAAACTAAAATGAAAAATTCAGCTCCACGAGGTACCAAGCTGACAATCTAATTCTGGAAGACAAGTGGAAGAGTCAATTTTGGACACTAAGAATTATCAGCAGTTTGTTTTTCAATAGAGAGGCTGACAAAATTCAGACAGAAAGGGGCTGAAGGAAAAAGTAAGCCACAACCAAGCTACTCAGAGCTCGATGCCACCCTTATGCACAATCTCAAAAATGACAGCAGGCTCTCTGCTTCACTACAGAACACAACGCAGCAGGAACTGGGAGTTCCTACTACTTTTTCCTCATTGCATTATCTTCTTTTTTCCTACAGCTCATTTGAATTTTCTTTTTCCTTCCTTTATTGTTTTGGAACAAAGGAAAAGAGAAGGAAATTTGCAGGATTGAGTTTATACTTCCTGGAGGTAAAGCAGAGATTTTTCCTTCAAACTAGGATGAGTTGAGCACAGATGTGAACTTGTTCTTAGGCAGCAGAATAGATGTTCCTTCCACAGGACACTGCAGGGCAGCATAAGGGGAAAAAACACCCTAAAACATAACCACGCTCTTTTTTTCCTCCTCATTATTACTACAAGTCTCCATGGCATATGAAAACACACTGCTAATAATGCACACAAAAGTGATTAAAAGCAATCTACCTCTAAGTTCGGTCAGAATATCAATTTTTTGTTCTAGAATTGCTTCAAGTTGGGTAGCATAAGAATCCACATCATAGTCTACTTCTTCCGTCATCTCAAGAAGAGCTTTTTCATCTTCCAGCCATCTAATAGATTCCTAGACAAAAGTTAAAAAAAACCCCACAAATACATTAGCAAAGTTTCAAGACAAGTCTCGAGACAAAGAGCTGAATTAGACCTTTTCTCTAGATGACCACACTTCTACTGTCTAGTCACCTCAATATGGAAGATTTCAATCCTAAAATGAAACCTTATTCCTAATTCACGTTATTCCTAATTCAGCAAATTTGTACATTTTCTACACTGTTTCTTAACTCCAGTGGTCATACCAGCAATTGGCAAACCCCAGCTACCTCAGTTCTCTTCAAATTCAGAACATTAGGTGGTTGTAAAGCTAAGAAACTCAGGGAACAGAACTTTAGGTCACAGTTATGTCCCCTTAGGCAGGTATCAAACTTTCAGTCAGGCTTCGATTTTAACTATGGGCTGGTTGCCACTAACTATAATCATGTCATTACTACAGTCAAGGTGCCAAGATAGTTCTATGCACAATCAAAACCAGCTTTGAGAGAAGCTGTATAAAAGAAGAGCTATCTTAAGCTCACTGTTCCATGAGCTAACTCCCCAGATAGGTAAAAGTACAGTAAAAGGTTGGTTAAAGCCACTCTTAGGAATCTTTGCACATAGGGGCGAGGGGTGGCGGGGCGTGGAAAGTCTTGCAGCAAATAAGGGTGCAACCAGGAGCTTAAAGCTTACAGAATCATGCAAAGCTGTGATTAGGAGAACTGACCCCATTGGAAACACTTTGATTTAAAGAAAGCAAGCAGCTGACAGTTCTAGACATGCTGGGCCTGAAACAGTAAAGTTAAGTTCTTCCCTCTGTGCTCAGTAGACCAAGTAATACTGAAAGCGTAGTCTAAACCCCACGTATGTTTACTGGCTTTCAGGACAGATGGAGCTCACACACCTCTAGAACACGATTCATCCCATTGATCTATTTTAGACATTCCTGTTAGGAAAGGATATTCTGTAAGAGCAGCTTCCAGGAGCAAGCTGACAGAAGACTTCTGCCTGGTACAGCTGGTGGATTTTGTATTGTTGCAGCCCACCTCCACCCATGGCATAAACTAACAACCCATGCTGTGAACAAAGGGAGCTGAGGCTCGGACACATTTCCTTTCAGTGACTGCTGGGAGGAACAGTAATCTCCAGCAGAAGGCCAGATGGACACACAGAGGCAGTAACATCTTAAACTAATGCAGCTTGTCTCTCCAGAAGTCACAAGCATTAGGACACTGCTACAGCATATGGCAGATGACTTTCCCACTTCTGCATATTTTACTTCAGGGCTAATGTTTCATAATAACTAAATCTCTACATCTGTTGTAAAATGTGTTATTTAGGATCCTACTGTATTATGAACACACATCAATGTTCCACTAAGTTAGATACCTAAATTGAGGAGATGTGTCTATTCCCTACAGGCTTAATGCTCTGTCGTTCTCTGGCAGCAGACTTGCCAAATGGACAGCCTGCCGAAAGACTCAGAGGGTATAGCCAGAAGCAACTCTCATTTCCTTCTGAAAACTAGTTAACTCGTACTTGTTACTACGATTTATTCTGAGAATGTAAAAGGCTCCATAGCACTGACCAGCCTTACACTGCATGGGCAGTATTCATTCCAAAGGTCCTGACTAATAGCAAGTGAAAACTATTATGTATCTGTAAAAAGGAAGCAGGCAGGCAGCTGGAGATGTATGTGTCTCTTCTGGATCTCAGTATCTCAGAGGGAGATGTCACAAAAGGATACTCTGATGAGATACTTGGAGGGGGTATTGCAGTATCTTACAGGGAGATTACCAAACAGAAATGGTGCTGGTAGAGACATCACTATCCATTGCCAGCTCTGGCATACAAATATTGGCATAGATTAGACAGTGCAATTGAAAATTTCAAGATGAATCTGAATAAACTCCCTGAACCAGAAAAAAACTGCAGTCACTAATGCTGGAAAAGGTCTACAACATAAAACACAGTAAAAAGAAAACTAGGACTTTTCTTATGAGGAACACGGCTTATTTAGGAATGATTGTTGAGAAAAAAAGGAAAATTTTACTAAATTTCTGGGACGATATAGAAATACGCTTCTCTTTCACCATGAGGACAAAGCTTAGTGGTTATGGGATCTGTCTCTATCTGTTTCATACAATGGGCTTAGCATAATCATCATAGAATCACTGAATGGTTTGGGTTGGGACCTTAAAGATCCTCTAGTTCCACCATCCCCCCGCCCCGCCGCACCATGGGCAGGGACACCTTCCACTAGACTATATAATAAAACAATTTAGAAGTCTCTGACAACAGCAGAATGACCAGATCATATCCCTCGTCTTCAGGAGTATGCACTTTCATCAGGAAAACATGAATTCCTGGATTAGGACAAAACAAAGTAAAGCTTCATCTTTTACCTGGAAGACAGCCCTGTGGTCTTCTACTACTTGCTCCTCCATTTCTACCATTTGTGACACAGCTTCATGGAAAGTAAACAATTGCGGAGAAACTTCCTCTTCCTAAAAACAACAGTTAAGCTTGTTAGTCTGGAAAGAACTGTGGCTGCAGGAAATATATTGAATGTGATCCATCTCATCACAGAACACTAAAAGAAATATGCAGAAGGCAGAACCTGTCAAAAATAGAATTTAATATTTCTAATAAGAAAATCTCCAGAAACAAGCGGAGAGAGCAATAAATTCACAATGTTCACAGAGTTAAATTAAATTCATATTCACTACAAATCTTCATCCACTAATCCTAGTGAACACTGGAAAACAGAATATGCCACATTAAAAAAACAAGTTAAAATAGTGGGAAGAGGAAGTCACAAGGGAAGAATGTTAATTTCTAGTACGTCAGGGCTTTTTGTTGGGCATATCGCAAAGACAAAGGATTTCAAAAAAAAAAAAGAGAACAGAAATTACATTCAATGCATTTCAGGAGATCAAAATTAAATTAATCCTTTGGAAAAAAAGCGGAATAAATGCAAAGTTAGAAATCTAAAATGTACATAGCAATTAATACATTAAAAAAATGCACAGCATGGATTTACAAACTGTGGCAAACAGGGCTTCTTTAGAAATTAATAGTTAACAAAGAGGAAAGCACTACAAAGGCTGTAATTAATGTTTTAGTAAGACAGTATAGTTCCTTATACAATGCCTTTGAAATCCTTTTTAAAATACTGCAAAGCTTAATTTAATTCTGCACGAACAATGAAAATGTATGATATGAAAGGATATCTGGCTGGAAGGAATATCCAGTGGGAAGCTCTAGGAATCACTAGCACGTTCTTATAAAATAGAGTCCTGAAAGAAGAGTCAGTTACTGAAATAAGAAATACAGCAGACACCATGAAGAAGTGTCTGAGAAGGTAGAGAATCTTGCAAAAAATAAGTTAGGATAGTAAGGATTTTTCTTTTCTATCTTCCATCAGCATTTTCACAAAGAAAGTTTTAATCCCCACTGAACGTTTAAGGAACCAGGACTACAGCTGATAATCAGCAACAAGGGGAAAAATGCCCTTTAGAAGATGCCACTCAGCTCCCCACACCTGCAGCCGGGGAAGACATGCTGGGAGCATGACGTGACTTGTCCTGCGGCAGAAGCACCCGCCCGGACAAAGACCCAACAAAGATCGAGGCTTCCCAGCTGTTAAAACCTGGTTACTTTACCTCAGGCACTTGCCTTTTCACACGCTTGCCCCCAGCTAATCAGAAGAGGAATGATGGTAGCCAGATTTCCAAATGCAGAGAATGGCAAACTCACTTGTAACAGGTGTTGCATGCAGGAAAATGAATGCTCAAAAACACAGGAGTGTTAAATAAAACAGGTGAGTGTCCCAGGATACTGCTAACTGCCTAAAAAAATATGAAGCTGTACTGGAAAAAATGCACACTAAAGAACGCCAGAGCTTACAGCAGACCATGCCTAGACATAAAAGACCCTCATCAGCAAGGACGATAAAGAAAAGCAAAACATTCTCCTCTCACCCTTCACGAAACAATTTTGGTTTTGTTTTTTTCATATGGGAATGAACATGATACCCTAAAGTGAAAAGGTGAAGGGGCATGCTGTATTTATTTAATGATCTTGCTACAGGATATAAATACACATTACTCTGGATTTGTTCTGCCACTGTATTTATCATCAACTCTTTCCAGGTAATGCTGCAAACCACTCACGTTTTGTTCACAAAGCAGTTTGAGATCATCTCTCTGAGGAGAGCTCCCCACACCCCACTGTGTCTCCAAGTCGTCAATCTGATTTGGAGCATGGTGTATAATGGGACGGTTATCTCCTGCGGCGCTGGGATCGACTGTTAGCTCCTTCACCCTACAAGCAGAAAACGTTTCATCTGTAAATTAATGACTTCTTGTGCAAAAGAGTCACAATCAAAAATAAAGCTTTATGGGTTTATGAGAAATTAATTAATTTAGTAAGGATGATGATGTCAGCTTCACAAATTTAATGTACTTTCAGTGACCAAAAGATGGTAGTCCAACTCCTAAAAAGCATGGACCATGGAATTGCAACTATTTGCATATGAATTACCCATCTTCTAACAAGAGGCATTTTCTGATTGAATTCTTACTACTCATTAACAGTTGAGAAGGCAAAAATCTCAAAACCCTCACCATCAATTCCTTAACAATCAGTAATATTTGAAAGAAAAGATCATTCAGCACCCTAAACCTGACCATCTTTTTCTGTGCACACAACTGTGCTTTAAAAAAGTTAGTCAATCTGTACTCTGCTAGCTGTTACAAGCAAATCCACCAAGAATTCGAAGAAGATAATAATTTGCAACCAAGTATCTCAGAGAATGACTAGATTCTTTAATTAAAGTAATTTCCAAGGTAAAAATATCTTATTAAAATGTTAAGTCTTTTGCACCATGAAAATAGTTTAAAAGATGGATAATGATTCTGTTTAAAAAAAAAAAAAAAAAAAAAAAATTTAAAAGCAGATTTATGAAACGAGACACATCAAAGTCTGTGAGTACAGTAAGTTTTAGAACATGCTCTTCATTTTTTTATGGGAAAAATCTTCTTTTCAAGTAGCATTTATTTACTACAATAGAAACTGTTTTTCATTCATCTTCAGAGTATTGAAAAGTTTTAAAAATATATATGTATGAAAATGGTTTTCTTTTTTAATTAAGAGATATTCAAATTACTCTAAACACAGACTTGTCAGATTTGGTCCACTAAATGTACAAAGGTGACATCACCATTTGGGTTAAAATGTATGAAGGAAACTAGCAAGCCTGGATACAGAGTGTGGACGTTTAAGGAGGGTGAACAAAATACTGGGAAGATGATTGCAGATCATGCAGAACCATCACCTGCCAAACAAAATAAAAACAAAGTATGTGTGACTCAAGGCAAGGGGACTAATGAAAGGTTGGTCTGTAAAATTACATAGCCAAAAATAAAACTTAAAAATAAAGATTCCATGTATAGAATGAAGTAGACCTGGTGACTGAAGGAGAAAAGTCGTCATACTCATAGGAAGGAGAGAGATCAGAGCGACTGCCACTACCCTGTGAGAAGGGAATGTCCGAAGGACTAATTCCAAATTCCTTTACTCTGCAGCAGCAAAATACAGCAGCAAATTAAAAGAACATGTTCTCATAAACACAGTTAAAATGACAGCTCTTTGTTTAGCATACTTCTTTAATAGTTTAACTCTAAAATTATTTTTATATTAAAACACAAGTGTGCCAACATACTCAAACCTTCTGCCAACAGAGTTATAGATTACTAAGAAAACTGAACAAAACCAGTGCTGCTAATTTGCAGGGGACTATAATAGCAGTGTTTTCAGAAGTGTAATTCCAGATTTCAGTTTGTGCAGTTAGTAAAATTCACTCTACATTCAATATTCCACTAAATGGTTCCTTTCAAAATATCACACCACTAGAGCTACAAAACTTTAAATTCTACTCTGCCCTCTGTCTTACACTGCACTCACACTGGTGTCCAGCACCTAAAAACTAATCGTACTATGAAAATGATACATTGCTAGAAAAAACTAAAATACTACACAAAACAACTTTACAGTGACAGGAGTTTACTCCATAACAACATACAAATTTAACACCAGGGGGAAGAAATAGTTTTAGCGCAACTATTTAGTACAATAGAAATAGACGTTTAGTTAGTTTTGCAGTGTCTTTTTCTGGAGTCACTTCAGCAACGCATGTTCAATGAGGGGTAAAAGATCCAAGGAGTCTTGATGAATGTGCAAGGACATACACTATGTTACTGTAAGCAGGGGAGCAGATGCCTCCTTCTCACCAGCAAGGAAATAGCACAGACTTGTCCAAGCCAGGCAGATTTGCTACTAGCTCCCTTGATCCAGACAAAGAGACATTCAGGTAACAAGAAGAGTGGGCGGTAAGCTTTCCTAGCAGCCCTTTGTGCCCAGCTAGTGACTGGCCAGGATGCCCAGCCAAGCAGGAGCAGATGCGGTTCTGCCCTGTCTTTCACTGGGGCAAGCAGGCCACTAGACGGTAGCTTCTTCTGGCAAAACCAGGGTTTCTGATGGCCCAAAGGCATGTTTGCCTCCCTTGTTCTTTGCAGCAAAGCGCGGGAGGGTCTCTGGGTTGCAGGTCCGACTGCAAGGACATGCAGGACCTGATTACCCCATCTCCACAGACAGTAAATGAAGGAGAAATGCAGCAGGAAAAGGTTCCTTTCACACTCACTAAAGAGAGATTAACGCTTTCAGAGAGCAGTACAGGACTCAGAGGTGCTGCATTCGCCTCTGGAGGTGCTAATTTCTCTACCCTGATTACAGAGTCACTGTTGGATTAACTTATTCTTTACTTGGGGGTCTCTGATATTTGCCTGAAGTTAGGAAGTACAAAATTCCATATATACATATGAAACAGGCTGGCAACTGCATCCACCAAGAGGATTAAAAAAAAAAAAAAAATCAAAAATCACACTGCAGAAAGGAATTTCAGCTAACACCAGAAGGAACCATCATGAATACTGACTACCCGTAATGCAAGAGATGGTGCCTCCAGAGCAGGGAGAAAACTAACAGAGGCATCTCCCACGCTCCTTACAATCCACGCTATCCATCTCTGCGTAATGGCTTAAGTGCAGTTTCTATTGATTCTATTGTAATGGTTGTAAAAAGTGACAATTTAAATTACATGTGAGTCTGTATCAGTAATTTGGTTTTAATTGTATTATGAAATGTACGTACAATAAAATTATTCTAGTAGCTAAAATAATTACACATCACAAACAACACCACTCCAAATGTCAGTGATCACCAGCCAGTCTAGCTATAAGCAATAATACTTTCCATACCTATTTGCGTATCTTAATGTATTTAGAGTGTTTTCACACGACGCCATCCCTGGAGAAATTGTAGCAATCTGAAGATCAAACAAGACATGTGTTAATAAATCACTTTGTACGGATGAAAGGGTAGATAATAACTTCTTTTTTCATTCGAGAACTTCTACAAAAACTGTCTCCTATGTACAGCTGTCTTTATACAATGACATCTTAAGGAGACAGATGTCAAGTCAAAGCTTCAATGTAATTTTTTTTAACCATACCTGAAACATTAACAATTCACAGAAATCCAGTCAATTTCCCCCATCTCACTGTCTTGGTAACACAATATGTAGATGCAAAACACTAACTGAAAAAATAAAGACTCCTCAAAAAGGGAAATATGCAACTCAGTAGAAAGTAAGTCTAATACATCCTGCAAATAATTACCAGATTTTTATCTATCTATCTTTGTAGGCTGCTTTCCATTCAGACAGACTGTATATTGATTTGAGAAATCTATTTTGGCAACAGTCCAAAACTGTACTTAATAATACTAAAGATCAGCATGTGTGTAACTATTTTCCTAAGTAAAGATGGTTTTTGTCAATTAGAAGTTATCTGTAAAGAACACTGGATAGCTAACTTATTATCAGATGTATCTGGAGTCTACAGGTCTTTCCTTTTCCAGTTAAATAAAATACCCTGAAAATCTCACCTTCTTTCCAGCACTCAGTAAAAATAACAACTGTAGGCAACAGTGGCATTGTTTTTTGTCCTAGTTTCCCTCAGTGGTCCACTTTTTTCATCTGTGCTCCTTTCAGGCTCTACCCAGGAAAAACACCTCTATGATCCTATACACTAACATTTTTTGTGGCAGCACAGCATCAGGAGACTGATCCTGATGAAGATTAGATAATCCTGGTCTTCTCTTTCATCCTGCTGCTGACTTTACTGTACAAAAGCACAGGTAGTCATCCTGAGAGGAATTACTCCTACTGGGGAGAAAGGAAAAATATGTGGTGGGAGGGGGTTAGGAAGTCTGAAGAGCCTGTTACCATGCAGACGTAAGTTTAAACCTCTAATACCGGTAAACATCAATCACTAATGAAAACAACAAGCGTAGATTTTAAAAGATCATATGATTGCATGTCTCTTTATATAGTGTTCTGGTTGCTAATTAACAAAAACCTGCAGGTTCCTAAAATACTTCCCAACACATTTAACATGAAAGATGCATGCACTCCTTCCATCCGTTCCGTGTTCAGGGCATACCACGCACGGCAACTGCCGTTAACACCAGTTATGGGACTGCTCTGATGTTCTGAAGCATCGAATGTACAGCTGTTATAGGGAAGTACCACTGTAGGTGCCATCAGCTGTATGGATACCCTGTTCAGGGCACAAGAACCCATGCACAAGGCTCTGTCTGTTGAACACAAATGTCCCCTACATCACATGCCCTCATGCCCCAACAAGCCTGGTCAAGGCAGGACAGGAGGACTGGGACATCCCTTTTGCTCGCCTCCTTGTTCATAATTCCAAATGAGGATGGAAAAAGCTGCGCTATTCATGGACAGGAATATCTTTAAGACCTGTAATTATCATTCTTCCTATTTCAGATGTGTCTACATTTCTTATAAGCCATCACATGGCCCTTTTGGGACCCTGAAGTCTGCAGGTTCCTACTCCCACCCCAGAGGGCTGAGGGATCTGTCACTTCAGCTATGACTGCAGCATGTGAAAGATGCAGCACTGGTTAAAAAATGAGACCACTCTACATAGCTACCTTGCAAATGTCAAATGATGATACATTATCCTACTATGTAACTGTTCAAAAACAATTTTAAAACTCTGACAGCACATTAGAATACTGAATCAAATCTTCATCTTGTTGAGGAATCCCTTTACAATGCATGCCTCTTCACTGACAAGCAGAAACAGCACCTTAGAAGAGGTCTTACATGTTCAATAAATAATGTTTTCCAATTGAATAATATTTCTGTGTTGCAAACTCATAATTTACTTCGCCTGTAACAGGCTAAAATATTTTGGAGGAAATACTATCATGATCTACATGTTACTTAGTGACAGTTGCAACAGTTACAACTAAAAAGTTCTTCTATGCTTTAATTTCCTTCACATAAAGGACTTCTCTGAAACATAGCAACGCTCTATGCAGTCAACAGGAGGAACATGAAAGGAAACTACTCATTATTAAATGATCGTAAAAACAACTTTTAGAAGTTTGAAGCACCACAGTTAATTACATGGTTGTGCTGCAAACTAGGAGTCAGCACACCTGCAAGATAAGTACTCTTTTAATTTAATAAAATACTGTTCAACTTTAGCTATCCTAAAGACTTGCCCTTTTCTTTCCCTGTCCATTTCATTAATAAAACCGTGCCAGGGTATGATCCAAAACCTACACATGAACATGCTTACAAACCAGGCACACCCTGCCAAGGAGCCAACTGTAAATACCACACTGCAAAGCTGAATAAATGGTCTTGATAAAAGAGGCAAAGGAAGATCCAGAAAAGGGGTGAAGCTGCTGATTGTTAGCCACTATTCCCACCACATGGCCACTGCAGGGCAAATCTCCTCTCCTCTTTCCAGGGGAACTGGAGACAACTGGAGGTAATTCCAGGCTAAGGTACCTCCTACACACCTCCCTGAATTCAGTACATGCTGTTCAGAAACCTGTCAGATCTCTAGACAGGCAGCTTTATGCTGCATCCATCTAGCTATCCCAGGAGCAAGTGCTGCGAGGGCTCAATTCAAACAAACTTAAAGATGCACTGTAGGTTTCTTTTCTTTCCCTGCTTCCTTTCAGCTGTAATTCAGAGTATCATAGAATTGTAAAAAGACCCTCCCCAGCCTTCTTGTATGCCACAACCACCCAAAGAAAAACTTTCCTGATGGAATTTTGATAAAAATGACATGTAAACAAACACTGAAACCAGAATGTCACAAGTGGTCCTAGTACTGAGAAAATACATGAAAAAGTAACAGTAAAGTGACTCTAGTTATGTAATAAGAAAATACATAATTCAAGCATATTTCCACTCACTTTCAGGAGGGATTTTTTTCCTTAATTTAGAACTACATTGCATACAGAATAAAGGAATGCAAGCTTTATCAGAAATGAAACACCTGTAGATCATGGATTATTTCCGATGGCATTCTCACACATTTAAATGGTAAAAAATGTTACAACTCCACGAGAAGCTTAATAATAAAAAAGCTCCGCCAAGGCAAAGACAGCTTGTTAGCCCTTTAAGGAAGTAAGGTGATGGTGAGAACTGTCATGAAATTATATTACGTAATTTCCAACAGGCTAACTTTCCAAATCTTCTTCAGCAGTGTGGATACACTAGCTAGAGATGCACAATTTAGCTTTCTGATCCTGCACAGGACTTAAGAAGTTGCAGAATCACAGAATCATAGAACAGTTTGGGTTGGAAGGGACCTTTAAGGGTCATCTAGTCCAACCCTCCTGCAGCGAGCAGGGACATCTTTAGCTATGTCTCAGTGGGAAAGAAAATCCTGTCTCTTCATCAGAAAACTACAGGAGAAAAAATGATCAATAAAAAATGCTATTTTACCACCATTTTCAATTAGAACCATATCTACCAGCTAAAGGGAAGACTAGGCTGACCTAACATCAGGGTTTTCACGTTGTGGTCTGCAGACTTCTCTGGCCTTTAGATTAATCAGTTCCAAAGAGTATGTGAAAAGTAACCAACACAAACAAGCCTAGCAATTGGTGTCCACTGCAGAAAGTCTGCATTTCCCTAAGGAGAAATGTTGAGGATGCACAAACAAAACAACTGGACATCAGTGCTTTTACTTGTCCTTTCCACCATCTGACAGAAGAGTTCTGTTTTTCAGGCTGAGGCAAATGCACAGCTATTCATCCCATCTATCCCAACTACTTCCACCCTCAACAGCCTAGAGCATATTCTGATGCCTTTGATACCAACTTTAAATTTGTCTTTGTCATTTAAAGATCTGTCATGGTTTGAACACAGGAGGATGGGGAGAGAATTGGAGAGGTAGAGGTAAGGAGATTCGTAGGCTGAGATTAAACATTTTAGTAGTTTAAATAAAATAAAATTCAAATAATTATAATAGTAATAAGAGAATACACAAACAAACAATGCACAATGCAATTGCTCACCACCCACTGACAAATGCCCAGCCTGTTCCTGGCTAGCAAACCCCGCGAAACCACAATCCCAGAAGACCCCCAGCTTCCCGGCCCACCCTCATCTATATAATAGGCATGATGTTACATGATGTGGAATATTCCCCTGACAATTTTCGTCCATTGCTCTGGCTACACTCCCTCCCAGCTTCTTATGCACCTGCACACTAGTAGGCCACAGAAAGCTGCAAACTCCTTGATTTCTCAGCAACAACTAAAACCATCAGTATATTATCAACATTCTTCTCATAACAATTCCCAAACTGAATCCAAAACATACCACTATTCTAGCTACGAAGAAGAAAAATTAGCTGTATCCCAGCTGAAACCAGGACAAGATCGTAACTCACCACTGTACTTCCAGTCTACACTACCTTTTCAAAAATTCTGTGCCAACAAACAATACTCTCATATAATTACGACATTATTAAAAACAAACAAACAAAAAACTTCTGAAGCTAGAAGTGTTTCTAGCTAGGTGCCTGGCTAGAAGACTACAACAATCAGTAAGACAGGCTGCTAGAAAGTGAGAAGGGAGCAAGTTATCTGAAATGTCTCTGCTGAAAGTCTCACTCTGCACACAGCGTCAGGGGATAAGCTAAAGTCCAACATATTGGCCGTAGCAAGCGGCCAATTTTAAATGTAAAAGCCTAAATTCCTGTCGTGGTTTAACCTCAGCCAGCAAGTAAGCACCACGCAGCCACTCGCTCACTCCTCCTCTACTTCAGTGGGATGTGGAAAAGAATCAAAAAACAGTAAAACTCACAGGTTGAGATACGAACAGGTTAATAACTAAAATAAAATAAATAACACTAAAATATAATAATAATAATGACAATAATAAATATGAAAAGGAATATAACAGAGAGAGAGAGAGAGAAAATCCAAGAAAAGACAAGCACAATGCAATTACTCACCACCCAATGTCCCCTATCAGTGATCCAGCCCCCCTGGCCACCTCCCCCCCATTTACATACTGAGCATGACATTCTGTGGTTCGAAATATCCCTTTGGCTAGTTCAGGTCAGCTGCCCTGGCCATGCTCCCTCCCAGCTTCTTGTGCACCTGCTCGCTGGCAGAGCACGGGAAACTGCAAAGTCCTTGACTTTGGCTAAGTGCTACTTAGCAACCGCACCATCAGTGTGTTATCAGCACTGTTCTCACAGTGAATCCAAAACACAGCACTGTACCAGCTACTAGGAAGGAAATTAACTCTGTCCCAGCCGAAACCAGGACAATTCTCAGTGTCTTTTCCCTTTATATTGTTAGAACAAACAGTTAACCAAATCAACTTACCATACAGGTACGGGAGTTTTCTCCTATGAATGAATCTCTTAGCACCTGAGTAAGTTTACTTGCTCTGAAGGGTGTGTGAGGTTTATTTCGGCCTAAGGCTCTAATGCACTCCTGAAAGAACAAACAGTTTACACATTTTTCTTTACCTGGATTGAATAAATATAATACAAATGCAATTAAAATACAGAAAATACATCCCTTAGTTATGTTGCTGTCCCCCACAATATCATTAACATTTACTATTAAAGCTTGGATTCAAGAAGTAATAGGCTTTTATCTCTCAGTAAGTTCAGTAGAGAGGTAGGAACTTAAAAAGGACTTAAGAGCCTAAAAACTTTCTGAATGTCATCCAAAATGTTTATGTCCATTGTATTCAACAACAACAACAAAAAAACCAAAAAATCAGTATTGATGTTAAATGTACAGACTATCAATTATTTCTGATTATCAGCTGCAAAAGCCTGAATGATCTACACCCCTGCTAGCAGAAGCAGTGTGGACAGTAACATGTCTTAACTCTACCAGTTAAAAGCATTAGCTCTGATTCTGGCTCCACCACTGACTTTCTTTACAGCACGTAAGACAATAAACTTTTGGAAAGCTTCCACAGGTCACAAACCTAGTACCATAGCTCTCTATTGATGTATGCAATATTGGAAGACGCTTGAGAAAGTAAGTCATTCCCAGTTCTAAAATACTCTTCACGTGAAAAAACAGGGATAAGGCCTCCTCTTGCGCTCACAGGACCATGGGGTTAAACTAATATTTGCAACCGGTTGGGAAGTTCCAGTGAGAAATACGGTACAGATGTAAATATTAGGAAATTACTACAGAAGCAACTAAGTACAATAGTGCAAACCAAGATCGCACTAATCTAAACACCACTTCTGCCCACTCAGAGCTCTAACATCAGCTAATAAATTACTTCTTAAGCAAAGAAAGTTTAAATTTAAATTTCTGTGTTGTTGTTGTCATTGTCACATTTTGATCATTAATTGCAGTTTCTGCCTTTGCCTTAATACTTTCTGCCCATGCATTTCTTCACAAAAGGGACAGTTTTAACATGTCTACACACTGAACTCCTTCGAACAACCATACTTCAAAAGGTTTTCACATTAGAGCTTTGCTTTTAGTAGCACTAACAGATGGAATGGCTTTTCTGTTAGATGAATAGTTCTGCAGGAGTTTAGCTAATCCTCCAGCTGCAGCCATATCCTTGTGGCCTTTTGAAATTTCCTAGAAGCAGCTTCTTTCTAAAGCCAGGCTAGAAACTGTGGGATGATAATCCAAGACAGCACTGCAACTGTGAAACAGCATAAAACAGAACTAAAAACGGGCTCAGAACAAAACTGCCACGATACAGAACTGAACAAACACAACAGCAAGTTGGCTTTAACTAAAGTGATTATTTAAAAAACTCACTGGCTGAATTTTATAGAATGGACACAGCTCAGATAAAAAGAAAGACTGAAGCTTGCTGAATGTGAATTTCACATGCAAATGCTAAAAAGGACTCAATACTTACAGGGGAGCAAGGCAGTGCATTCCTTGAATTTTTTGTATTTGTACATTAATACTATACTTACGTAAAGAGAAAATCAGATTAGACAGGAAGAGGGGCAACAGGTTTTCAACAAGTGACATTACAACAAAATGCACAGCAACAAATGTGTAATTAAAATATTTGAATTTACTATAATGATTTTTAGTTTGCTTACTCCTGAAAAATTAGAATTGGCTTATCTCCTTATTAGTAAAAAGATTATAGGAGCACACTGCCAGCTTCTAAATTAATGGAGTTTTTAACTACTTTTGCTTTTCATCACAGCTCAGAAAACCAGGTAACAAAATTATAACACTATTTCCATGTAGAGACATTACAGAAATAATGTCCTGTACCAAAAATGTGTACAGGTTAAGACAGGACTGATATGCAGGTGCAAACAGCAAATCTTGGATTAGCACCAAAGAACACTCCTCAGAACATATTAGCTTAATTCAAACTTGACAATAACTTCAAGGATCTTGAATACAAAGGCAGCTGTGTCATGGTTTTGGGGATAGAAGAAAAACGGAAAACTAACATATAATTGAAAAACTTGTATCTTCTTGTATCATTGTTTAGATCTCTGCAAGACTTCCACTCATTTTTATTTCCCCCTCCCCATGCAATTTAGATCATAACCACTACTATGGCAGCAGAAGAACCTTTCACTATAAAAAGACAAGTTGTATGAAAATGAACTAAGTATGTTGTATGAGTATTGCACTGAAGGCACTAGCCAGTACAACATCAGCAAGTAAACTGAAAAAAAAAACAAAATCCCCCAAACAATTTGGAAACAAGTGAAAATGTCAACATCATGTTGCTTGCATTATTTACTTCGATGCTAAATCACAATATGCACAGTTTTGGAACGGCTGCTTCTAATTTTTCAATATGCCATACAATTTTGTAATGACACATCATACATTACAGTTTTGTGTTTTGTGAGATCTGCTTAGAGTCAGATGCAAGTCTTCTCCAAAATTTATACTGAAGATAAAAAAAGTAAGGACAGTGATCTTGGGGTTCAGACTCTTTACACAAAACCACAGCACTGGTGCTGAGAGTAATAAACCTAAGCCAAACTAACTGATCAGAGAGGTAAGTTCTGCGACATTCAAAGTGACTGTTTCCCCAGTTAAGACCAAAAAATTACTTTCCATACTAAGATTGAACCTCTTTCAACAAACAAAAAAAGATGCAAATGAATATTTAAATAATATTTCTTAGCTATCTTGTTGTGTCCTGAAAAAATGTGTTCAGTTCCCTTGACACATTTAATGTCTGAAAATTTGTAAAGTGACCATATCAGACAATTTGTTATAAAGAAGACTAGTCAAAAATGGATTCCAACTTTCAAGGGTTATTTTAATCTATTTGTTAGTTCTTTCTGAATATGTTGCTGTTGGGTTCCTGTAGTGAATTAATTAAAAGCAATAAATAAATATATCATGAAGGTAACCTTATTTTTTAATAATTAAAAAAAATACTGAGAGTAGCTAAGAATATTGCGAGTTAGTATTTCAGACCTTGACTACTAAAGTAAGTCATCTGTCCTCCCATTTTAGATATATATCAGAAAAGACTTCAAATTCAACCACTGGGGACTTTTTGTTGAAGTATTGTTTGGATTTTTTTTAAACTATATGCAAGTTGGTAACACAATGTTTCTGCAATGTTTCTACTTGGTAATTACCAAGTATTCCTTCAGGCATTTAGAGGAAAAATCAATACATTATTTTACCTGTCACACCAGCAGACAATGTAGACAAGCAAAGCCTGCAAAAACACTCATTTTAATAGTCATTGCTATTATACGTAGAAGGCTTCCACCTACTCAAAGGCAATAGAATCATTTCAGTTACCTTGAGTGCTAAAAGGCTCTTGTTAATTTCCGCACCTTCCAGTCGTGTCTGTCTATCTGCACTGGAAGTATCTGCTCCTCTTTCATTGCCAGCCAAATCAATCAGAGAAAATTTACCATGCAATTTCCCTTTCCTTCTAAGAATAATCTGAAACACTGCATGGCTTCGAGATGAGTGTGCATTTGCAGATGTCTGGCCAGATGTCCTGTAAACAAAAGGAGAAGGACCTATGAACAGGTGAAGAACCATACATGTTCAACGCCCTAACCTCAGAACGTTAGTTTTTTCAGACCAGAGTCCTGTATTTTTCTACATGTGTTGACAGCATGTCTAACATTCTTGTTGGACACTAGATAGAACTCTAATAATTGGATGTACATAGTACAATTATACCTCTTTTTCCATCTCCTAAAACAGAAACGGAAGATTAGTAACATTTTACCTTCCTTTTAAAAGCAAGAATAATCAGATCTTCAAAGATTTCAGATTATCAGAGAGCTTACATGTAAAATGCTGATGGCGTTTTTATCTGATCAGGCAGCAGTCTATGCACAAGACTAATTTTAAAAACAATGAAGCTAGATTCTTAAAAGAAAAAAAAATTACACTTAACCTCTGTCACTATGTATCAAGGCCTTTTACAGCTGAAGAATCTGGCAGCATTCCAGATTATAAATGAAGTGAATTTAAGTCAGTAAGCTGCTTACGTAACGCATGCAGTTCACATGCTGTAGAAAAATGAGTTATTTCTCTCTAAGAGACAGAGAAAAGGCAGGCAGATTCCTTACTTGCAGCCAAGTTGCATATTAAATTAAATAATTGCATATTAAAAAGCCATCACTATGAAAAGACCCAAAAAAAGTCTTCTTCTGATTCTTTAATGTACAATGAAAACCTGGTGTAAACTGTGGGAGATACCTGCAGCTGTTGCCTATTTCAATAAGCTTAAGAACATCTTCAACACATTTGACTTCCCGTTCCTGTAATCCCACCACCTGGACTTGCTGTTTACCGTCTTCTAACACTCTTAATTTTGTCTTCCTGTTCAACAAGTCAAAAACCTTAGAGAAGGGGGGGGGAAACAGAACAGTTAAAGAGGAGCTTTAAAAGACACTTTTGTTTCAAATCCCATGTCAAAATATGTAAAGCATTCCATGGAAAGACATGATTGGAAGGGAAGTCTAAAGAATTATTTGAAATAAAGCTTTTAGCATAAAGAGGAAAAAAAAAAAATTAGGTGAGAAGCTCAAAATCCTGCTTGTGAAAGGGAAATTCCCCCTTTCTCAGGGAAGGATCAGGTACTTACCTTACCACTGTAGATCTCAAAAAATGTTGCATATACTTGAAGCTCTAACTTCTTATAGTTTGGTTTCTTTAGCATTAAAAAGACATCTCGAGCTGTGAATACATTTCCAGAATAAAAAGAAATCTCATTATGTGTTTTCTTTTAGTGAAGACTCATTAACAATCTATTTTACAGCATCTGTCACATTCGGAAGTATAAGATAGGACAGTAAACCAGGTCTAAAACATTGCAGTTTAAACTGCCACATTACAAGGGAAGATGGAGAAGACCCCAAAACTATAAACTTAATTAACCATCCATTATATTTATTACATTTTCTTGAAGTAAACTATATATATATTTACTTCACTGTGTAAAGACTACACGTCTAGGAACTACTTTGGATGCTGGCAAAGCTCCACTGTAACGCAAAATATGTAGACCCTTATGTTTGTACGACTGGGAGTAAATATGATTGATCTCAACTAATCTGTAAAAAGCCAACAGACCAATAAAGCCTCACCTGCAAGTGCATATATTCCTTTAGAACAATCTTGGTTCTTTCCTGAAAAGTCACCACCCATAGTCTAAATTAAAAATAAATAAATAAATAAATAAATAATACACTATAAAAATCACAAAACTGTAACTTACGTATTTGTTACTTATTAGAACTTATCTAACTTCTAACAAATTTAAGAAGTGTATTGCTGTCACAGAGAAGAAATACTTACGTGCGTTTTTCCACTGCCTGTTTGCCCATATGCAAAGCAAGTGGCCATCCCCCTTTCAAATATGGTCTCCACTAATGGTCGAGCTGTAAACCTTAAATGCAAAAAACAACAGTACTTAAGAAACAGAATTACATTAAGATGCCACTTCCACAAGGATGCTATAAACTTTAATGCCAAAACTGGTCCTGTACTTCCAGAGACCAAAGGACATCTCTACATTAATTCCTGAGCTAAAAAGACTACCAGCTCTAAGGCATTAAAATATTGCAAACAATCAAACAGAAGTAACAAAGTCTCTCCCATTTATTTTACAACAATATTATCCTACTTCAAACCCCAAGAAAAATAAATTTCCTTGTTTTAATGATGCAACACAGCACAGCTTACTACATGGAGTTTGCAGCTCCCTAAGGAAGACACAATAAGAGGACATGGAAGTAGGACAGTGGAGCAGATAAATACTTAGGTTTTGCTAATACTAAAACTCTGCTATAGTTTTGATTTTGTTTTTTGTTTTTCTTCTCCCCAAATCATCTTCCAAGATTAAATTTAGAAGGCAAGTAGCCAAAACAACGTTGCACATCTTAATATTTTGAGAACATACATGTACTGAGAAAAGGTTCAAAAAAAAGGATACCCAAGCTCTTCATAATGCAAAAATCTAGTTATCCCTGAAGAATTATTTGATATGTCAAAAATTATTACCCAAAGTATCATTTTTCTATTTTAGAGAGGGTTTTTTTACTTCAAAAAAAGTAAGAATTATTGTTTCTACTTCAGCTGCTTATCACTATTGTCACGAAAAACTCCACGAGCAAAGGGTAAACTAATGAAGGCTTACCAAAGGAGGTAAGAGTCATTCTGCAAAAGTCTCTCTTTCTAACCTTTTTACAGGTGTTTACACATAAAATACCTTTAAGTGTCAGAAACAGGAACAATTGTTTACAGAAACATGGAGGTGTAACAAGGTTCTTTCATTCCACTTTCAAACAAACACAAGATCGCTTGCAAAATTAATATGGGCAAGACTGAGCCATTCAGCAACCAAGGGTCATTCAAAAATCTAAGTTTAACTGAGTCATGAACTTTCATTAAAAATATACCAGATGATTCTTGATCAGCCTTAGACTCTATTTTCTGGTTCTTCTAAACACATACTTCCTTTGTCCTCAAGAGGATATTTCCATATGTTGATGTTTGTTCTTTTTACATACAAAATTTCACATAGTCTATCCACCTAAGAAGCACACTCTATTATCTCCATTTAATTGAGTTTGAAATTATTTATTTTGCTGATTTATACAAAAGGGACTTAATTATATCTAATTTAAAGTAAGGTAAAATACAAACATATCTAGAAAAGTTTTCATAAAGCATCATACAACTCCAAATGGTACCATGCCAAAACAGCCCACCTTTATTTTTACTAGAAACTTTACTTGCAATCTTGATCTTTCAGAAACATGAATTCTGGTTCTCCTTTAAAACTCAAAAGGCACACCCATTCAAATTAGTGCATGTTTTTTAATATTAACAAAAACTTGCTACTCTGTGTTAAGGATCATGGATTAAAAAATACTTACAATACAGCTTAAGGAAAACAACAATAATTATTAAAAAAAGAGTAGTACTTTTCTCCCTCAAACTGAAGAACATTTTTCAGTATACAAATACAGTGAGTAATTTTAGCATATTGGAGAAAACTGGAGTTACTTGCCACACTACTTTTTTTTCCCCCATGGTCACTGTGAAGTTCTGGTGAGAGGAGATGATGATACCTATCTTACTCTTATTTCTGTTATTACAGGAGGCCTTGAAGCAGATTGCCCTTCAAGTAATTATTATTGTGCCATACGAGGGAGAAGGAGAAAGTCTATACTGCTACACAGACTAGAGATTTACTGTTTCAATATGACTGCAATCATCTTTCAGTATTTTCCTTTATTAACATTAATGTATTACCTAACTAATAAAAATTGTCTGGAGAAAACTCATACAAAAATACAACAACACTGTATGCCAAAAACACCCCTCACATTTAAATACTATGCTCACAAAGATAAATGAAGGGGGGAGACAGAAGAACTGATTGTTAAGCAGGAGGGGAACTATTGTAAGATGCACACATCACCAACTAGATGGCTCTCCCACAGCTCTTCAGTATCAAGAAAAGGAAGATGCTACCAGAGGCAACCATTAGAGACGGAAGAAGTCTCCAAGGGCACAGTTTTGCAGTTCAGAAGTCTTTAGTTAGTACACATTAACAGACTATACAGGTTTTTCTTTTGCCACCCTTCTCCTCCTAATTGTATCAAGCGTAAAAGAGAAGATTTAATTTTCAAGGCCTTTTAATAATTCTTTTAGTATGAATTTTCTGTTATCCACTGACAGGATGTTAGCATCCAACATCAATCAGGACACAACCCTAACTTTCACTTCCTAGTTGTTGGATTAAAAACAAGAATTAAGATACTTCTCTGTCACTACTCCTTAAGGCTATGGGAAGCACTTCCCAAGCACAAAGAAAATCATCTTCACCAAATTCCTTTCTAGTATCAATATTCTCTCCAAAAACCTGCACAGTATTTAGAGTGTGTACCAAGATTATGACCTGTCCTGGTGTCCAACCTTGCCTGCTACTGTATCTACTCCACTTAGTGACTTGTACAAGGTAAACAGCTACTTCTAAACGTCTTCCAAAGCGCTGTGTGCATTATTCTGTGCCAGCTGCAGAAGTGAAACATAAGAATAAAGGAGAAAATGGAGATCCAAATACCTTGGGGCTGAAAGTGTGTCTTTGTTACTGTTGCTTTTTAAATCAGAAAGATTCAGCATTTTGAGCAAGGCAATTTAACTCCATGCACCTCTGTGTTACATCAGCCACATTGCTGCCAGCAGCCAAGCTAGCTCAGGTCCCTCAGCGGTACAGCAATA